TGTATTTATTTCACAAATTATTTTACTATAAATATGCATTGTAATTTATTTATATAGAAACGTAATGCCAATGAAGTCCCTATAAAAGTATATATTACTATAAATAGATAGTGTAAATAATTTTGCTATAAAAATGCCTCAAATGATTATCTATAAAAATCCATTGCCAGTGATTCTTTTCTGGGAAATGCATTACAAGTAATTTTTACTAACAAATTACATTATAAATAGTTTTCCTATAAAATGTATTGCAAATTGTTTTATATAAAATGCATTTCAAGTGATATTTACTATGAAAATACATTGCAAATGCTTTTTTGTGTGCTTTTTTTTACTAATAAAATGAACAGCAAATGATTTTTACTATGAAAATGAATTGCAAATGATTTTTAATATGAAAGTGCATTATCGACAATCTCTAATATATAAAATGCATTGCAAATGATTTTTACTATAAAAATGCATTGCAAATGATTTTTACTATAAAAATGCATTGCAAATGATTTTTACTATAAAATGCATTGCAAATGATTTTTTTACAAAGATGCATTGCAAAATTTTTACTATGAAAAATGCATTGCAAATGATTTTTACTATGAAAATGCATTGCAAATGATTTTTACTATAAAAATGCATTGCAAATGATTTTTTTACTATAAAAATGCATTACAATTGATTTTTACTACAAAAATGCATTGCAAATGATTTTTACTACAAAAATGCATTGCAAATGATTTTTACTACAAAGATGCATTGCAAATGATTTTTACTATGAAAATGCATTGCAAATGATTTTTACTATAAAGATGCGTTGCAAATGATTTTTTACTATAAAAATGCATTGCAAATGATTTTTACTATAAAGATGCATTGCAAATGATTTTTACTATAAAGATGCATTGCAAATGATTTTTACTATAAAAATGCATCGTATGTTTTATTTATATTAATTCCTCAATCCACTATAAAGAATTCAATCTCAGGGGAAATTTCCATTTATTTTTTTTTTCCTTGAGCCATTTTAAGTCTGACCATCCGAAAAAGAAATGATTTATTGGCATTTAGTGGTAGTTAATAGTTTATTCGTGTCCTTTGACAATCTTGTTTTTTCCCAGAAAGCAAGACGAAAAATTTTTTTTTTACTATATTCCTGTAAATAATTTCTGACTTAACTTAATCACTCAATACAATTTTAATTTTTTTTTAATTAGATCAGGCTTCCCTAACAAATCCAATGGAATTACTCGGGAAATTATGTATTTTTTACTTCCATTAAATGATTATTACGACAAAATATAAAGATAAGGCAGGTAACATGGATTAGATTTTAGATATGTATTTTCAGATAACTATCTATTGTTGCCACGTTCATTCATTCCTAGTTGGCTAGACATAGAGAGAACAATCAGGTTTTCTTTTATCTATGTCTACCATTATGGTCATATCTATCTATCTCATTCTGTTCTATATGTCTCTACGTACCTACTTACAACCTACCTACATATATATATATATATATATATATATATATATATATATATATATATATATACATATATATGTGTCAGTCTTTTATATCTATTTATCTGATTCTGTTTTTATCTATCTATCTATCTATCTATCTATCTATCTATATATATATATATATATATATATATATATATATATATATAAATAATTATATAATTATTTATATATATAGATATATATATATAAATAATTATATATATTTATATATATATATAATTATTTATATATATATATATAATTATTTATATATATATATATAATTATTTATATATAAATAATTATATATATATATATATATATATATATATATATGGTGGACACTCCTGTCGTATTCAGATAGCTCAGTCACTCAGAACTGACCAGCATAAAGGGTCAAATGCAGAAACGGGGTGCCACAGGCCCCCAAACGACCCTCCGCAAGTTTTGAATTCAGAGTTGTCTTCTCCTAGACCTGTTACCATCCAAGGCTATAGAGCCCAATTTGTCTTACTATTTACCCATAGCTGGAGGGAGAAGAAATATTAATGAAGGGTGCGATGGGTAAATTCTGTCGCGCATGCGTGTCGTTTGACTGCATAGAATAGTAGGCTGCTGTCTGGGATAAAAAGAGCACCATGACGAAATTCAATCCGCCAGAAATTTGGGAATGGTTGACATTCGCACCAGAGTCTTAAATACAAACATTCGCAGAAAGAAATGGATGATAAATCCAGTCAACATAGGGAATAGGATTGTATGTGTATTCAAAATTGTGTATGTGTATCTGCCTAGTAAAAGTTCTGATGTCTTCACCTTTGCGTGGTCAACCAGCGCCCATTGTTAATGGGTGTCACATGATTATAATTTATGGATGATTTCTTTAAGCATATATTTTTTGTATTACCACAATTTACTGCTTATATGTGTGTGTGTATATATATATATATATATATATATATATATATATATATATATATATAATTATGAAAGCGGAGACTTTAAAAGTTCATGGTAATATTATATTTCATTAAAACCGATACTTCGGTTTTAACTCATCAAACCAAACATTTTCACATGTTAATGGTGTTTGGAGTGATCACTAATGATGGCAACGTTATGCCTCCATTCATCTTCCAATTGGGACTCATACTCGACACGGAGGCCTACATCAAGTGCCTTAAGGGGGTGTCAAGAGGTGTAGTTGCTACAAGACACTATGTTTGGCAACAGGATTCTGCACTATGCCACACAAGCAGGAGAACCCAGTCATGGCTGTCAGACAATTTCTGCGACCACATCACCCCTTACATCTGGCCACGTAACTCTCCAGACTGCAACCCACTTGATTATTATGTGTGGGACGCCGTTGAGCGAGTGATCAACAAAATTCCTTGTAACATGAAAGATGCGCAAGGATTATGGCAGCATTCACCAACTTAAACAAGGAAACCGTACAGACGAGCTGCAGAACATTCGCGTAGTTTAAGACAACGGCAATTTTATTGAATAAATTTACTCTAGTATTTCAAGATATTCTTGTGCAATTTTGATAAATATATCTGTTAAAATGAGATGTCAGTGTTGTTTTCATTTTTGCCAAATTTAGACGATAATTTATACATCGCACGTTGTGTGTATATATAATTTTGCCAATAGAAAGTTCTTGACATGCTGGCGTCCCGATATAATTTCTGAGTCTGGGAAGAGTAGAATTAACTTTTTTTTTTCTTAATATCACTTACTGTTGAAACTTGACTAATGCATGGAATAATAATGCAACACAAAATGTACTTAGAACAAAATGTATTGAAACAAGAAAGTGTACATAATATTTACATATAGTCTTTTGTATATTCCTGGTAAGACCGTTCCTGGAGAATGTGTTGACTAAGTCGCAGTCGGGCAGAGTCTCTGGATTGAATCTCTTGATTCCTTTCCTCGTCTTCCCGGTACCAACCATATTTATATGTTCGGTACTCCACTATACAAATTAGGTGGATCCTACCACAACACTTACAAAATTTCTCTCACAGGAATAATTTTTACTTTTTGTTATTATTTTACATTTTCATGATCTGTTTTCTCCTCTCTGTTATATATATATATATATATATATATATATATATATATATATATATTGAACAATATTAAAATTAAAAATTCAAATCTTTAGACACACTGGATTGTAGATTAATATTCTTTCGTTTTTTTTATTATTATTCCATTTAGATTCCTCATATATATATTTCTCAGAGTTAACCTGTAGAAAAGACAATATTTATAAATATAAATGACAATAGGAAAACTGTAGTCTGACTATGTGTGTAAGGTTTTGTTTTCCATATTGACAAATATGAAATTTTTCTATTTTCATATTGTCATTTACATTTCCTATTGTCATTTATATATATATATATATATATATATATATATATATAATTATTTTTAGATAAATACAAGCAAAGTTATGTCGAAAACTGATATTTGACGTAAAAACTGAATAATGATTAATTTAACGTCTGAGAGGAAAGTTTGAAATATTTTCTCGAAAATAATTTTCTTACATTTTTCAGATAAATTGTTTTAATAAATTTGATATTACAATATCTATACAAGTTTTTCCCTTTCTGAAGTATGCATACATTTCTTGATGGAATCTGTGTTTAGATTTTGACATTGAAAAACGGATGAGATGACGTTAAAGAAAAGAAAATCACGCGCCTATCATGCTTATAATTTTTGAATAAATATCATATATATATATATATATATATATATATATATATGAAAATTGCTCAGAGTTAACCTGTAGAAAAGACAATATTTTTAAATATAAATGACAATAGGAAAACTAATAGTTGCCGACGCGTTTCGTCCAATGTGGACTTCCTCAAAGCAAAAAAGGAAATGAATTTATTTAAACAAATTAACTAATAATAACAAAACCAAAATGTCCTTAGCAACTGGAAGAATTTAGAGAACACTATTTTCATAATGTTAACTGAAAATTACGCCAATTACTGTAACGTGTGGAGATATTGTTATTATTGCTGTGTTGACAGATTCAACCATTTTCTTTTGATTTTATAATATTGTTTTGTACGTTTGTTTAGGAGAGCAGTAATTTTGTTAAGAAAGGTGAAATAGGGAAAAAGCCTGGGCGTAGATTAATATTTGGGTAATATTCACTCTCTAGAATTTTCCTTCTGAGTGAGTTATTTTTTTTATGAGTGTAGCATTTTTAAAATCAAAATTGTGGTTGAATTTATTTCTATGTATGACTAGTGCATTAGCTAAGTTGTTTTTGTGAGATCTCTTTTGTGCTCATAAATGCGTTTTTTTTTTTAATTTCTATTTGTTTCTCCAATATATTGGAAGGAACAGTTTTGGCAATTTATTTTATAAATGCCTGCTTCAGAAATATCAGCACAGCAATAATGACAATATCTCCACAGGTGACAGTAATTAACGTAATATATCTCTTTAAACAGACTTATATATCTCTCTCTTTCTCCCTTTCTTCTTTTTCCCCATTTGTTTTCCCCGTTTTGAATAAATATGCCACTTCTACTCTGACCATTTTATCCTCCTTTTTTTCTTTATTTTTTTTTCCCTATCTTCTCCCAATTTCGAATTATTTAAGCATAATTTATGTTTAGATAAATGTTTTGTGCGTGGTAAAATTTTAAATCCATTTTTTGTGAAAATGTTTGGTTTGATGAGTTAAAACTGAAGTATCGGTTTTAATGAAATAAAATATTACCATGAACTTTAAAGGACTCTGCTTAATTTCATAATATATATATATATATATATATATATATATATATATATATATATATATATATATATATACGCACACACACGCCCATAAGCAGTAAATTGCAGTAATACTAACAATATATGCTTAAAGAAATCACCCATATATTAGAATCATGTGACTCCCCCTCACCGGCGCTGGTTGACCGCGCAAAGGTGAAGACATTAGAACTCTCACTAGACAGATACACATACACAATTACGAAGTCACGTTACCATCCGAGGCCCACTTAGACATACAAAAATCTTCACAAACTTATATACACGTAAAATTATCTACGGTTCTGATGCACGTGATACGTGCCTGACCAATGAGAACTGACCCAAACAAAATTGAAAATACCAGTGTTTCTGTCTCTCTTTTTTTTCTCAATAGCTGACAAATTTTTAATAAGAGTGAAACGTTTTAGATGGATATACGTTTAATTTTTTGTTCTTTATTTTATTATCTTCTCTCGGATTCCGATCCACATCTGCATTTGTTCTTTAACTCATATATATATATATATATATATATATATATATATATATATATATATATATATATATATATATATATATATATATATATATATATATATATATATATATATATATATATATATATATATATATATATATATATATATATATATATATATATATATAGGCTGGTACTAATAATACAGTGCTCAGTGTAATATAACAGAGCTATTTATATCAATAAATATACATATTATGCATCATCGCTAGCACGTCTCTGAGTTTCATGCACAACACAATCTTCAGGTGCTGAGTGTGAACTGACCGTTTCACAAATATAATATATCTGGTAAATACAATGTAATGGTTATCATAAAGTAAATTTACAGTATTTAGAACTAAACAAAGAACGTAAAAATAAGCAGGAACACCGTAAACGCAACATTATATGGTTTAATCCACCCTTTACCCGTACTATCAAAAATAATATCAGACGAAGTTTTCTAAATTTAATTCATAATCACTTTAACCATTCATCAACATTAAAAAAGATTTTTTTAACAAAAACAATGTTAAGGTCAGCTATAGTTGCGTTAATAACATAGAGCCATCCATCTCTCATCATAACAACATTAAATTAAACAAAAATATTTCCAACAAAGAAAGCGTAAATTCTTCTAAAAATAAATGCAACTGCCGAAAAAATACGATCTGTCCCGTAAACGGTCAATGTATGACCGATAATATTATATATCGAGCAAACATACATTCCCGTAACGACGTTAAATTTTATTTGGGTTTCAATCCTTGGAAATATCGTTTTTACCATCATCGAATGACGTTAAGTAAATTAAAATACAAAAACAGCACTGCTCTCTTCGAATATTTCTAACAATTAAAGAATGATAGCATACTACCATCAATCAACTGGGAAATTATATCTAGGGCTAAGGCTTATAACTGTAAAGAGAATAAATACAATTTATGTCTACTTGAAAAATAGGTTGTCTTAAAACACTTAAATAACCCTAGTTTATTAAACAAAAAGAAATTGATCGTTACATGTAAGTATAAAAATAAATATCTGCTTAAATACGTTGATCCTGATTAATTTTTTAATTTTAAAATTTTTATGTAAATTACGGATTATTTTAATGTAAAGTAATATTTATTTATTTGAATACAAATTTATGTTTTTTGTTTAAATAAGAACAAGCAACCTCCCTGTAATTAAATTTTTGAAAGATTTCAAAAAATTAAAATATGAATATTCACAACTGAAATATAATTTTTTAATATCCTTTTTACACACACGCACAAACACACACACACACATATATGTGTGTGTGTATATATATATATATATATATATATATATATATATATATATATATATAAGTTACGAAGAACTTGGTAAACGGAATTGATAATTCCAAGGAGGATGAAATCCTGAGAGCTCAATGTGAATACAGAGCTAATATTTAATGAAAAACAGACCACTTTAAGGTACCATTACTATAATTTATTTTACCAAAATCCTTTTTAAAGGACTCCGGATCATCAGGTAACAATTCCGGAGTCCTTTAAAAAGGATTTTGTTGAAATAAATTATTGTGATGGTACCTTAAAGTGGTCTGTTTTTCATTATATATATATCCTGCTTATTTTAATTGCCAAATATAATTTTAAAATTAAGAAGACTGTAATCAC